TGGGCGATGGGCCGCCCCCTGGGAACCGAGCAGCCCCCGGAGGCCTGACAGATTGCGAGGACCGGCGGAGGTGGGTGTGGGCCCGGCAAAGCTGCGGACTGGGGGGCGCCCGGGTGATGCGGGGGAGGGCATGGCGTGGAGGCAGTGTGGATTCTGGGGCTGCTGTGCGCCGTGGGGAGCCCAGGCGAGCTGCTGCCCACTTGTGCGTCCTGGGCAGTCCTTGACCACCCCCTCCCCAACTCCTGCCACCTCCAGGCGCCCCGCCTGGATGTCAAGCGGATGCCCCAGTGCCCCCCAGAGGACTCGGTGGGGACCATGGCTTCGCTGATGCCCCTCTCCCCATATCTCAGCCCCACGGTCCTCCTGCTGGTCAGTTGTGACCTGGGCTTTGTGCGAGCAGGTGAGTAAAGAGGGTGGAGGGAGGTGGAGGTCAACCAGAGCTAGTCTGTGGGTGAAGCTTATTAACCTGTTAACACACTGGCACCCACAGACCGGCCTCCTTCTCCTGTGAATGTGACGGTCACTCACCTCAGAGCCAACTCAGCCACTGTGTCCTGGGACGTCCCAGAAGGCAACATTGTCATTGGCTACTCCATTTCCCAGCAGGTTTGAATCGCCCCTCTGCTCCCCCAACCTTGGCTGGCTCTCAGAACATTTCTTCTGTTGTCTTGTTGCCTAACTCCACCCAGCCAACACACACACAGAGGTGGGGGAATCCGGACACTGGTATTTCCTAGCTCAGGCTGCCCTTTTCACCTCACTCTTTGGAGTGCTTAGATAATCAAGAGTCCTGGGTCAAGCCTTGCAACCTGGGACTGGGGTGAAGCTGTCCTCGTCTCCCATCACTTCCCTGCAGCGGCAGAACGGCCCAGGGCAGCGTGTGATCCGGGAGGTGAACACCACCACTCGGGCCTGTGCCCTCTGGGGCCTGGCCGAAGACAGTGACTACACGGTGCAGGTCAGGAGCATCGGCCTTCGGGGAGAGAGCCCCCCGGGGCCCCGGGTGCACTTCCGAACTCTCAAGGGTTCTGACCGGCTACCTTCAAACAGCTCAAGCCCAGGTAAGGGTCTGATCTATTCCCTACTCCCTAAAGCTTTAGATTCAGTTTTTTTGGGTTTTTTTCCACCTGGCCTTTAGCCCCTCTTATTTACTTCCCCAAGGCAAGCAACAGTTTAGCTTAGATGAATAGAAGGATGATTTAATTCACTGTACTCCCGGGGAAGGAAGGAAAAGCAGGTAGGCAGGGGAATGGGTATAGACAGGCTGGTAATGAATCATTTAGGGGTAGGACTTTAAAGATTCCTTCTCCCCAACCACAGATGACAGCAGCTGCAGCCTGCATGGTCAGTACCTGACCTGCGGCCCTCCTCTGTTTCAGTCTCTAACCACTTGTCCACCAGTGGCTTCCTCCCAGAGGAGCTACCTTACAACTTCAGGGGCAACCCTGTGATGGGTCTACCCCGACTCTAATCCCCAGCATCTCCATCCTCAACTGTCTATGTAGATACAGCTCTCTAGCGGCTCCCTGGTAACCGGGAGACTGTCTCCTCCCTTCTCAGGTGATATCACAGTGGAGGGTCTGGATGGAGAGCAACCGCTGCAGACGGGGGAAGTGGTCATCATTGTGGTGGTGTTGCTCATGTGGGCTGGTGAGCAAGCAGTGGATGGGGGACCAGTGACTGAGGGAGTGGGGTTCAGCAAAGGTGGGAGGTGGCAAAGGTTGTTGGAAGAAAAGAGAGTGAAAGAAATGGAGTGGGGAGATGCTTGATTGTGGGGGATGACCAGGGGAAGTTTGAAGAGAGGGAAAGCAGGCTGTTGGGAACCCAGGGAGGAAGATTTAGAGGGTGGTGGTACTTGTGCATGGACACCAAGAATTCAAAGGTTTTCTTCTCGGATTTTCTAGAAGCTGTGTGGGTATCTTGCTGCCCTTCAAGTCTGTGATTGGGGATGTCGAGATCAAGGCTCAGATTTGTATTGTTGCCATTTCAGCTGTAATTGGGCTATTCTGCCGTCAGTATGACATCATCAAGGACAATGACTCCAACAACAACCCCAAAGAGAAGGGGAAGGGGCCGGAACAGAGTCCTCAGGGAAGACCAGTGGGGACAAGACAGGTGATGTGGGGGCCAGTGAGGGTGGGAAGGGTGATTTTGGCCCCTCAAGAGTAGCCGGAGAAAGGGAGAAGGCCAAAGAGGGGTAGGAAAAGAGGGAGAATGGAAAGTCTGGGATGGAGGAGGCTGGGGAGAAGGGGTGGCATCTATTACTTTCCTGAAATTAGAGACTCAAGCCATTTTCTTTTACAGAAAAAGTCACCATCCATCAATACCATCGATGTGTGAGTGACAGAAACAGAACCAGAAAAGACATGCACTAATGACCTGGGGATGGGATGGGGTCAGGGAGAGCCTAAGGTGATGATCTGCCCAAGACTGCAGGATCCCGCAATCTCCCAGAGGGTAATGACACTCCCACAGTCTCAGGTCTGGTACCCATCCTTTTCCACCGTGAGCAGGGCCAGAAGGTAGGTTAGAGTCTGCACCCCTGGACCTGGGGAGTGGATATCAGATGGGATGTCTCCTCCCAGCCCCCAGTTCAGGGGAGAGTCACTTGTTCAACCCTATCCCATTAGACCCCAAACAGGGGCCCCATTTCACCTACATCAGGACTCTCCGCATCTCCAGCTGCCCCCACATCTTGCCTCTGGGTCTCAGAGAGGGGTGTTTCTGAGGGTAGTGCCTCTTCCCCAATAAATGAAAGGAATCATCTGAGCCTGGAGGCAGATGCTGCACTGCACTACTCCAATGTCTTCCACGGAGCCTCAGGTGCTCCCCCTCTCACCTGGC